AATTGTGTATCATCAGCATAACAATGAAAATTAACACTGTAATTTCTAATTATGTTACCAAGCGGTAGCATATATAGATTGAACAGTAGTGGGCCCAACACTGATCCCTGCGGGACACCACCATATCTTACTTTAGTGGCTATGGATGACTCATTGTTTACATGGACAAACTGGTAACGATCAGTTAAATACGAACGAAACCACAGTAGTGCTGTCCCTTTAATGCCAATCAATGTTTCCAACCGGTCCAAAAGAATATTATGGTCTACAGTATCAAATGCTGCAGTTAGATCCAGTAAGAATAATAGTGATATACAGCCAAATGTAGTCCTGAGTACTATGCGGGCCAAATGCGGTTCCGAGTACTAGTGCAGCAAATATAGTCCTGATTACTATGTGGGCCAGATGCGGTTCCCAGTAGTAGTGCGCCATTGCAATTTCTCTGCAGGTTTCTCCACGCACTCTCTGTGACAGGAATCTGTAAATCTGCTCATTTGGATTGAGAGTGTTCAGCTGAGGTGATTCAGAATCTCATAAGGACATTGCCTAGTTGGCTCGCCGGGGAGAGCTCTGATTCCTTCAGGACACACTAGTCTCAGAACATATGTGGACCCACCAGAATGATGCAGAGTCTGTGGCCGAGGCCTGCTCTGACCTTATCTGCATGCTGCCACCCTGGCACTCAGCAGGAGAAATGGCACAAAGAGACGAGACGAGAGTATTTTACTACTTTTGCAAAGCAGAAACTTGGAATGTACAGTAAAGGATAAAACCATTCATTGGGTTGTGAATTTCCACTTTGAAGCTGTGTATTCTGCTGGACATTTTAGTGATACGGATGTTCTTCTCAGCTCTCGGCTTATGGTGTCCTCCAGAGGAGCTTCTCCATGGCTTCAAACGTGAATGCTGCAAGCTAACATTCTAAACGTCTGTCACTTTTTCGGAAAAGCAGCTGATTGCTGAAATCTATTTGTGACCAAGGCCAGAAATGCGAGCAGGCAATTCAATTCAATTCAATTCAATTCAATTTTATTTATATAGCGCTTTTAACAACAGTCATTGTCACAAAGCACTTTTAACCGGCCAGAATGACATTGCCTGGGTAATCAAGCTGAGATCTGGCCGAGGTTTCCTTTATCTCCATATTCATTGTGTTTTGTGTGTAATGCACACGCTCTGCAGTGACTTCACCTCTTTGCCGCCTTGCAGTCAAACAGCATGCCCGTGGTCCAGCAGCAGCACGGGATGCACCCCCTCAGCTCGCTGCGGCCATACTCCAGCGAACCCTTCCGGCCCAGTTCTCCACAGCTGCCCACAGATGCGAGTCAGAAGCCAGGTGAGTGTGGGAACCCCTGGGCCACCCGTTTGCTGCTGGCCTGGCCTGGCAGCGCTGGCTATGCAGGGAAACCAGAGTTAGTGCAGGGCGCTATACACAGGATACACAAGAACTATTTACTCTAACCCTCCAGTGAAAATTCTGTGTGTTTATTCCCTCCAGTCAGTGCTATGCCTCAGTTTATTCCCACCAGTCAGTGCTGTGCCTCAGTTTATTCCCACCAGTCAGTGCTGTACCTCAGTTTATTCCCTCCAGTCAGTGCTGTGCCTCAGTTTATTCCCTCCAGTCAGTGCTGTGCCTCAGTTTATTCCCTCCAGTCAGTGTTGTGCCTCAGTTTATTCCCTCGAGTCAGTGCTATGCCTCAGTTTATTCCTACCAGTCAGTGCTGTGCCTCAGTTTATTCCCTCCAGTCTTGCTTGCTGTAAACAATATTTCATTGTATTTGTACAGTGACAATAAAGGTGTCTTTTTCTGGGGAGTGTGTTTTACTCACTGGGCTAAGCCTCTGTGCCTGTGATCAGTAGATCGCTGGTTTGAGCCCTGGCCCCCGCAGAACAGTCACATGTCCGTGGGCCCTTGAGCAAGGCCCTTAACCCCCAGCTCCATGGGCGCCGCTGCAGGTGGCTGCCCTTCACTGCCAGGCTTACTCTCACCTACATATGTGTCTGTGTGTCATGGAGAGCAAGATGGAGAAGCTGAAGAGAGAATTTCCCCATGAGGACCAATAAAGCATCATTCTTATTCTTCTCATCATCTTCTTTAGTGTCATACCCCTGTCAGATAGCCAGTGCCGCAGTTCGGTCTGCGTGGCACTGCTTTCAGAATGCTGTTCATTAGTTCAAGTAACGCCAGGGAACTTGGTGGCAGATTGCCCATCTTTAACCATTTTCTTACATGGTGTAAGACACATCATCAGGCCTGAAGACTGCAGAAGGGACTCCCTGACCAAACAATGAGGCCCCTGACCAAACAATGAGGCCCCTGACCAAACAATGAGGCCCCTGACCAAACAATGAGGCCCCTGACTAAACAATGTGGCCCCTGACCAAGCAATGGGGCCCCTGACCTCTTGCCCCAAGATCTTTTGTCGTGGAGCCTAAAGCCACCAGTGACCTCGTACTTCTTTGTACTTCATGTATCCATAACCTACTGTAACCCTCGAGATAAAGCGGAGCAGTGCCTTCCACAGCAGAGTATTTCTCAATCCGGTCCTCAGGAACCCGCAGACGGTCCATGTTGCTGCTCCTCCCAGCTCCCTACCGGGTTGGGGAACACTGGCCAAGGGACAGTCCTTCAGTGGCTGTGCCCTCTGTGTTTCCCACCTGCTGCTGTATTATTCATACAGGCACGTCTCGCAGGTCACGGCTGACATCATCAGCGCCAGTGCGTGCCAGGAAATCCCCCAGAGGATCACCCCCCACCTCTGAAAAACGTAGCTCCCGTTGTCCGGGTGACACGTAACCCAGCGGAGATCACATGACCCCACAAGTTACAGCACCTGAGGTGTGGAATATGGTGACTGTATTAAATTTACACAAATCGAAAATAATCAAAAAAAAAAAGTGCAGCCGCCCATCTTTAACGTTACTGTAAGATAGCTAGAGACTGAGATACAGTGCATAAAAAGTCAAATAGTGCTTCATGGACTGTTTCATATTTAGTGTTTCTGAAATTTCCGAGGTGGCATGAACTTCTCTGTACCCATAGAAAGGAGGACACATTCTGAAAGCTGATGCGTTACAGTCGCAAGTCACTTTATAGTGCGTGCATGTGATATTTGTATTAAGACAGTTGTGTAATGACATTAATGCAGTTATACAGTGAAGGACTGTAGACGTGTTTTACAGATGTGTGATGTATTCAATAAGCAGCCCCAATTATAAACACTCTGTGGCTATTAGGTACTCCTGGGCCCGTATTCACAAAGCATCTTAAGGCTAAAAGTTGGTCCTAACTGTTTAGGAGAAAATCTTAAAAAATAATGGACGTGTCAGTCCTAAATGTAGGACACACAGCCTCTGTCTGAACGCGTAGCCTCTGTGTCTGAATGCGCAGCCTCTCTGTCTGAACGCGCAGCCTCTCTGTCTGAACGCGCAGCCTCTCTGTCTGAACGCGCAGCCTCTCTGTCTGAACGCACAGCCTCTCTGTCTGAACACGCAGCCTGTCTGTCAACATGCAGCCTCTCTGTCTGAATGCGCAGCCTCTCTGTCTGAACGCGCAGCCTCTCTGTCGGAACGCGCAGCCTGTCTGTCTGAACGCGCAGCCTGTCTGTCTGAACACGCAGCCTGTCTGTCTGTGGAATTCCCATGTGATCAGCTGTTTCTGGTTGTTGTCATTAGTCCTCTGTATTTAGTCCGCGTTTCAGTTTGTTTCCCCAGTCCGGTCATTGTAACGTCATTGTGTTGTTCTGCCTGTTCTCAATTAAACTCAGTGTTTCCCGATAGTTTGAGTCCTGTCCCTGCTTCCCCGGTTCCGGCTCAGCAGATCGTGACAACCCCAAGCCACGCCCCAACACTGCCCCAACACTAGACTATGCCATGCGGTCCATTGTTTATTTTTATTATTACTCTGTGTTCATTAATGTGTTCGTAAATCCCAAAGTTTTAGGTTGTAACATCTGTACTATTGTGTAAGTTTTTGTTGAGCAATGGCTACCAAAATGATAAAAAGTATTCAATTCAATTTCAATTCAATTTTATTTATATAGCGCATTATCACAACATTACATTGTCTCAATGCGCTTTACATTTCTGCCTCGTAAGGACCCCCCAGTGAGTAAGCCAAAGGCAACGGTGGCAAGGAAAAACTCCCTAAGAGGAAGAAACCTTGGGAGGAACCAGACCCAAAGGGGGAGCCCATCCTCCAGGGGCCGGCAGATGAGTCAAACAAAAAAGTACAGTGTATTACCTGATAAAGTATTTTCAATTAAAAAAGCACAAACAAACGATGCTATCACAGCGAATGCGAGGCCGAGACTGAAGCATTACCCTTCGTTTCCGCTGAGAGACGTGACGCGTGACTCATTTTTCCACATACAAGTTATCTTAGGTCAGCGTTCACGGTTGGACTTCTGAGATTCAGAACAAGTTCTAGGTCATTTTTTTTCAAACTGGTTGGTTCGACTTTTAAGAAATTCGACTTCTAATGAGTTCGAGAACTGAGGGACCACTGTATATTCTTTTGTGCATTAAGTTGATTTTTGGTCATTTTTTTTTTTCATGACCGGTAAATTGTCCCTCAGACTTTTGGTTGCAATCGAACATTTCCTCATTAAATCTGTCTGGTATTGTGTTCTGATTGTTCTCCAAAGCGTATACAAATTCACCCGTGTAAAGACCTGTCAAGGTGTCTCCCCCCCGCCCCAGGGCATAAATATCTTGCTTCTCTCTGCTGATTGGTTCTGACATCGCCCATTGACATGTCTGGTTCCCAGCCAGCTAATTATAGCCCTTCCACTTTCAGCCTAGATGACTTCACTTAAATGTCACCTAAATATCTTCCCTGCAGGTGTTCACAGGCCACAGTGCCAGGACATAACAGCGTTTTATTCCCTTCCTCCAGGCAGCGTGGGACAGATCCCACATCCCATGGGCTGGTAAGACACAGCTTTAAAATTCCACACAGCTTTAAAATTTAAGTCAGGGTCCCACCCCTCAGTCTAGCAGTAAGTCATAAGGCCAGTAATATCTCACAAGTGTGTATTTTATTCTTTCCAAATGTCCTTTTATTGACTGTATTTCACATTGTTATTAAATGCTATCATCATTCAACTGGAGAAAATTTACATAATGAGTGTCAGTGGACTTTGTTTTTGTTGTTAATTGTATGATTGAATGAGTATCCTGAGGCAAGCGATAGCAGTGCAAGCCTGGAGTCTGAAGGGTTGTGTCAAACTGAGCTATGGATGGAAATGGGATACAGGGTCTTGGAGCTGAATGAAACAGTGTGTCGCAGAACTCTTGCCTGTCCTGTTATATAGTCTGATAGTCGTGTTTCCACTCAGGATTATAATGATGCTGCCATGTTGATCATTTTGGTATTTTCCAGTTTTCAAGAAGTCAGTGAAATAAAGAGAGATCAGCGGTGAAACTGTAACTTTGTATGGCTTGTGACTTTTTTCCATCTTTTGAGAATTATCTCTGAATTTGAAAAGTTGTCCAAGTCGACATCATGTGTGGCTCTAGTTTCCCTCTGTTGATCTCCCATGTGATGGGCACCGCTGTATGAGCTTCTAAATGGCATCGGATTGTTCCTGAGCATCTCCAGAACATGTAGCTACACAGAATGGATGGGAGTGTACTGGCCAGGATTCCCTCTGACAGGAATGTGGTATCTAAAGTGGGTCTGAGATGTATCTCTGTCATGATGATTCATTTGAGGTAATATGAGGTAGCAAACCTTGAACGTTTCTGGGTGGGTATACTCTTGGGTATACTCTTGCGCCTGTGCAGCCCATTAACACTAAAGTGTATTTTTGAGAGTACGTTTGCCATTTATTCACAGCAGATTTGTGGTCCCCATGCTCTCCGTAGACGTGACTAACCGGATTTGTCCGGCTCCTGTTCCTCTTGTTAATGTGAGCCACATGTCACCCACTGGACTGATGCGATGTGATCTTGTACCCCAACCACAGGCAAAGCCAGCCTGTCTGTCCGCTGTCCTCCTGCGGCTTTGGCCAATCTTACTCCCCCAGCCACCCTTGCAGCTCCTCCTTTGCTCGGTAGGTAACAGCTGCTCCCGGCCGCATGCTGGCACGCTCTCCCACGCTCTCCTACGCTCTCCTACGCTCTCCCACACTCTCCTACACTTGACTTAACTCTCACCACTGAAGCGTCTTGCCAACCAGGACCCCACCACGTGCCTTTCTGTGTGGCAGTAGTTATGTGCTTCGTGGCAGTAGTTATGTGCTTCGTGGCAGTAGTTATGTGCTTCGTGGCAGTAGTTATGTGCTTCGTGGCAGTAGTTATGTGCTTCCTGGCAGGGCATTCAGATCATACACCCTCCTGCCAAGAGCAAGGCTTTCTTCCCTTTGTGTCTGTGTCTGGTGCCAACTTAGACTAAAAGTCCCCTTCAGCCTGGCCTCTATTCCGCATCACCTGCACATTTATTCACTGCACTGATGTGCTTTATGACATTCACATGCATGTGCTTGGGTTAAGTTGGGGAACATTGTGTGTGAAACTTGAGTCAAGGACGTTAAGAAAGTAATAGACAAAAATGCTTCAAATCATTGAGTTTCATCAATCAGACAGCAAACGTGAGATATAGTTCATTTTGGCTTTTGATGGACGTTGTTTTTTGTATTTGCGTATTTTTCTCATGAATCTTTGAGTTTACGGATCACTTGTTTTCTTAAAAAGTTGGATTTAATCTTCTTGAAGCCAACAAAAAATGTCCCAATGGACTTGAGGACAGAAAACAATTAAATGATGTAATTGTCTTGTTTGGCTTAATTTTGAGCTAATAGGTTTCTCCTTGTATCAGCTTCTACACGGCTTTGCTGGTATTTGGTGCAAAGTACAAGCAGATCGCCATCTCCTGGTGAAAATAGGAATAGGCAGAAACCACGAGGTGGAACCTGTGTGTAGTTGTTTTAAAAGGCCTTTCGCTCGATGCATTATGACAACAAAAAATGTCTGATGTACCGGGTAACGGTCTGTTTTTGTGCCTTCACAGGTTTCCTCATTCTTTTATGTTGGGACCTTCAAGCATGCATGCAACAGGTATACCCCACCCTGCCATAGTGCCCCCTACTGGCAAACAGGATGAGGATGAACCATGTGACAGAAATACTTACTCGTGAGTGTTTACCCCAGACCGCTGCAGCAAACGCTGCGCTAGATTTAGATTTTTCGCATTTGCATTACTATGATAAATCTGTAATTAAATATTGCATGAATGCATGCATGCTAAATAAACTCATGCAAATACGTGCATACATGGTTCAAACTGTTTTAGAGTTTCACACTGAGCCTGTCCCAGGAAATTTAGGCCGTGGGTCAGAAGGCAATCAGGCTGAGAAAACGTCACGTGGTCTCAGATTTTTTGATTATTGCAAAGACTAGTTAAGAACATAAGAACATAAGAAC